CGATAAGGTGGTGCTTGTGTTTAAACGCTTTCTTACAAATCTGACACTGATGTGGTCTTTTTCCTGGGAGAAAGAACAAGATGACAGGGTGATTAGTGTCTTTGCATGAAGTCTCTTTCCAATAATTCTGTACGTGAGTCCAGACTCAGGCATAAGCGTGTGTGCTTATGCCTGAAAGATCAACACGCCCCGGTCTAATCGAAGGTGAGTTAGGAAGATGCATTTCCATCTCATAATTTGCCTTTCTAATGCTTGCTGATGCAACGCAGTTAATAAACAAGAACTTAGAAAGCTGCTGGAGGAAAATTCTCAGAGAGGAAGCTTTCCATTGCTAATTGCCTCGTTTATAAACTTGGAAAAATGTCCTACTCGACAAGACATTTCTAGTGATCTAGTACATATTTTCATAATTCTCTTCCTTACATTTTTAAAACAAAGACTTGTACAAAAGTGATAAAGATGGCATCACCACTGGCAGGCACTGGCATTTATATCCTCTGCTTGTTACATCACGAGATAGTTGCTTTGAAAGGGGGCTTTAGGTCTTAAATGGGAGCAAACTGCCAAGTTAGAAAGGAGCGGAAGAAATAGAGGAAAGAGGAGGTCAAGACTGCCTTATCGCTCACATCATTCTAAGAATAAAAATCAGAGAAGAAACCATTAGAAAATAAAAATTAGAAGGGTGTATATCATGAAGGCTGAATTAATTCCAAACAGTGTTTTCCCTCTAAAGTTTTCCATAAGATGTCAGCCACTTGTTGAGTGTTAAAATACTCTTCAGCTAGGGAATGCTGTATTTCCTTTGGCATTCCAGGCAGTTTCTAACCAGTGTTTGGAACTTAAAGCCAGTGCCAAGCCTAAACACATCTGGTTGATTCCAGGCCACAAATAGCACTGGAATGCCTTCAACACCTTCCATAGCTGCCATACTTAAAAGTTTATTTCCAAAATAGAAGTGACAAAAAAAAAAAAAAAATTATCAGCCTGATGCTCCAGAGTTACAGTCAGAAATGTGTCATGTAGAGCACCATGAACTGTAACATACATGAAGTTGTGTGCTTTATGTCCTAATACAAACTTGCATTTTAGCAAATTAAATTAAAACCCAACATAGTAGATCCAATCCCATTTTCGTTTGCTAAGTGTCATAAGTTTAGGAACCCATCCTACACACTTTAGGTATTCAGTTATGTGGTGATATAAAATCTCAATCAGTAATTAAATATCTTTATTAATGTTATCCAATGCCTCCAGGACATGTCACTATTCAGAAAATGCTGTAGACTGCTATGTGTTATTTCATTAAAGGTCTTTATTTTACTGGAATGTCCACTAGAAATTTAGTAATGATAAATGTAGCAAGGTACAATGTTAGAGTAGGAAGAAGTTAATTAACTGGAAGAGTGGAAATCAGAAAGATATTTCTTGGTGACTACTAGTAATATGGGAAATAAAGACAATTCTAATGCCCTACTTCACGGCAACTAATACTCTGAAGAAAACAAGTATAATTCAAACTACACAAGAACCATTCCTTAACTTTTGGAAAAGATGTTTTGAATGAGGTAAACTGGGTAACAGAGATTCCAATGGAGTGCCAAGAGTCTACAAAGATAGCATGCTTTTCCATTTGGAAAGACCACCATGGTGGGAAGGTAATTGAAGAGGAAGGAGAAGCGTATTTGGGAAAAAGACAAGAGGTTTTGCCTTCCGGGAAACTTCATGTCATTATGTTATAAATTTGGTCTCTCTTGTGTGGACTTGGACCTTAAAGGAACTGATGCTATCAGGAGAAAGGATAAGACATTTCTAGCCGCAGCAATTCATCCATAGGGGCAGTATGGTGCAGCGTTAAATGAATCTGATTATCTGGGTTTAAATCAATTGTTTATGACAGGCTGTGCACTCTCAGGCACATTTAACTTCTCTCAGGATCAGTGTCCTTGTAGGTAAAAGGGAGATCATTTGGGGACCTAACTTGTAGACTGGGCATAAGGAATAAGGAAGACAACTTATATAATAAGTACAAGGATTGCACATAGTAGGCACTCAATTAATATTAGATCATTTTATTCTTATTCATTAAAACATGTTCAATAATTTCTCAAGTTCTAAGTAGGATGCATGCAGCAGGAACAGAGTACATGGAAGTAATAAATCTGAACAGAGAGAATAGAAATTGTAGATGAAAATTTTCTCGATGCTCTAGTTGCTACAGCGTACATGGGCAAACTGTCCTACAACCTCTTTTGGATACTAATGTCTCATCAGCTCAGGAGCACAAAAAGGTCAACTACTTAGGTGACTTCTTGGAGAGGCTGTATGAATAATTTTGAATGAACATTACAGTTGATATGGTTTCCTTTTTCAAAGCAACAAAACACAGAGCAGTGTCCAGAGAGAGAGCAAGCATTCTCTGGTATAGCTTTCAAGGCCTGTTAGCAATGCTTCGGGCATGCTCACTAAACTGCAGTCTGTCTTAGAGCTATGCCATGCTACTGGCATTCAATTTTCAGAGAACTCATTCAATAATAAACAGTATGCTTATAATAGACATATATTAATCCTGCATTATGAATTGACAACCCGAAAAAATAAAATGTTCAGTTATGATATCATGCAAAGCATAGAATCTGGGAGCAAGTGAGAGTTTTGACATACACCTTACACTAAATGTTCTACTGATCTCCAGAAGTTTCAGTGGTAAGCATTTAATAAATTTAATTTAAATAGTAATTGACTTAGACATTCATCTCTTTTTAACTTGTTTTGTTGGTTTACTTGATTCAAATCTAGAATTAAATTTCCACATGACCAAGATTCAGAACTTCCAGGTTGATACTGAATGAATCAAACTTTCTTAGGGTAAATATTTTCTCTAATATCTAGATTTATGATTCACCTGACAGCTAGAATGATAACTGAAGTTAATAATAAATGAAAGGTTTGCGGTATGAAAAAATTACCATATGACAGCAAAATGAAATTGACTGGTAATTTATTTAAAACTTAGACTTTATCTACTCAAAAGTAGAAACATTTGTATTACTTTTCTAAATAAAGTGGGTTTAAAAAGCACCTACCATGACGTCTCAACAGAGAAAGTACTCAATAAAGGTCAGATTTAAATATTGGTAGAATACAAACGAGTTCTTGACAGTGCCTAACAGGAATTTCAGAGTGTTTAATTTCACAGTCCTTGTTTGTGACAATTCTGTTGAAGTCAACATTTACATTGTGTTTCCCTCCTCTGTCCCAGTCCCAGGTCCCAGGAAAACCAAGCAAGCAATAAGCCATTGGTAAGAAAAATGAAGCATGATGACTTTGGTATCTGCCTAGGAAATAAGCTGAGGCAAAAAAACAAAACAAAACAAAACAACAACAACAAAAAAAAAACCACTGGGTCCCAAGAATAAGTAGCACATAATTTTCTTCTTAAATTAAATGATTCTATATGTGAAATTGTAGAAAGACATCACAAACACACTTTATCAATGACACATTCATAATCAATGCATAATGAAATGATGATTTAATTTTATTTCCCAACCTTAGAATCAATCAGTCCCAAGACAGTTCTCACTTATAATTTTCATATTGGTACATTCTCAAAATATTACTAGTGCTTAATGTAAACAAATAAAAGGCTAGTGGGGCCCAATTGGGATAGGAACATGGACTAAATTTCCACATATATCATATCAATAAAAAATTCATGAAGAACTTCATTTGAATAGTACCTAATTCACTGACAGTAGTAATGTCATGAGATGTTTGGTCAAGTGACCAAAAAGTTAACATGCTGGAAACTTGACAAGTTGGAAAGCCAACAGGAAGATAATTAATCACAAGTTTAGAGAAGCCATTGGATGATTAGCATCTTGTTGCTAGGCAATGTTTCCAGGTAGCAGCTCTCACATCTTAAAGGACCAGAATATTTTATTTTTACTTTAAAAAATAAAGTTTATTTTTAAAATAAATTATGCATATTTGTGTTTGTCAACTTTTGGGTCTCTCAACTACCTACAGCCCTATGAAGCTTGTAATTCTCTAATTTATAAGAACTAAATATGACTGGATGTCACTATGTATGATAGCCCTCACTAAAATAAAAGTTGTACACTCACCGTGTAGTGAATGATAGGGTTTGCATATGGTCATATAATAAAACCAATCAGAGAGGGAAAGATGCCTTCAATGATGTGCCTATCGTAGCTGAATAATGGAATACAAAATATATGTAAGGTTGATTAAAATAGTAAAATTAAAGTAAAATTTAGGTATGAAAATATCTTTAGAATACTAAAGAAAATATGCTAAAAGATAAATGTAGGAAAATTTTGATGCGTCAAACATTGAATTATATAACACAAGTATAAAACATGTTTGGATTTGGATTGGGTTGTCTTTAAGGTATCATTAAACTTTTAAGATAACCACAATGATTATTAGACAGCTGAAGAAAAACTGTATTGATTGGAGTAAGAGCCCTGTTATTTACCAACCTTGTTTTCTTCGCAAATCCCTCCCCAAACTCTCAGGCTGATGTTTGTCACATTCACTGCCTCCAGCACGTGCCCAGTGAGGAATAGGGGCAGAGGATGAGTACAAGTAGTTCCCAAGGACAGTTTTCAATGACAGAAAAGAGTGCCACGTATCTAGGCATTCAAAATATGACAGGAAGGGTTCCCCTTCCCTTCAAAGTTTTTTTTTTTAATCTCAAAAAAAAAAAAATTGAAGGGAAGGGGAATACTTCCTGTCATATTTTGAATGCCTCTGTTGTCCAGGCTGAAGTGCAGTGGCACAATCACGGTTAATTGCAGCCTCGACCTCTTAGGCTCAAACCATCCTCCCACCTCAGCCTCCCAAGTAGCTGGGACTATAGACTTGAGCCACCATGTCCAGCTAATTTTTAAAAAATATTTTGTAGAGTCAAGGTCTCGCTTTGTTGTGCTGGCTGGTCTCAAACTCTTGGGCTAAAGCAGTCTTCCCACCTGGGCCTCTCAAAGTGCTGGGATTACAGGCATGAGCTGCTGCACCTGGCTCACATTCCCTTTTCTTTTCTTCTTTCTTTTTCTTTTGTGCCTCGTCATCACTTTTCCCCAAAAAAGCTTTTCCCCCAAAATGTTAGGTTAATTTTTTCCCTCCATTTTAAATTGTTCGATACTAGACTTCCTGGTTTAGAATGAGATGTTTTCCTATAGTCCCCTACTTTTGCCAATATTTTGACTGAGATCCTACATTCTTCCCCCCTCCCCCATCCAGGGCTAATAGAGCATGCCAAATTTCTAGTGGAGAAGAGCTGGAGATGGGCTAGGGGCAGGGACGAGGTTGAGCTAGCTTATTGTTCAGGGCGGTGGGGATGGACTGGGGGGAGGACACACAAATGGCGCTCGACCACAGAGCTGCAGATCTTGGATTGTGGGAAGTAATATTAATTTACATTATGGTACTTCATCTTTCTTTCCAAAAATTAACCCACTATCTCTCTACTCATAGGGAAGAATTAGGCTGCTTTCTTGTCAACTCTTTGTAATTGCTCCTAATTAGTAATGCATGAATTGGAAGTATACTAATTAAAATTTAGAAAGTTTTATTTCAGTCTTCCAAATATAGGTGGTTTCAAGTAGCTTACTTTTCTTTTATCGCACTAATGTTTTTACTTCTTTCAAAATGTGGCCAATTAAAAAAAATCACTCCCAAATTGCAGCTTTCTCAGTATTTTGGATGATGAAACTAATGTATTAGTGACTAAATTTCTTATTAGATTTTTACATATATAACTTTGAAACTTAAGAATTTTAAGATATTTTCAATAATTGCCCTGGTCATTTGACTGTCCCTTTGACATGATTTGTAAATTTGCTTTACAGAATAACTGGAAAGATATGAAGACAAGCACACTCATAAACACATGAATGATCCAATAAACAGGCAACAAAAAAGTCCTACTGAGCTCGGCAAAAGCATTATTTCTTCCTTGTTGAAGGTATCAGCATATGTTACATCTTATGTTGCACAAGTGTGCTCATTAAATATTATGAAATGTACAGCAGGCCGGGAAGCTCTAACCAGCTAGGCAAAGTCACTCATACCTGTGTGTTCATATTTATGTCGCAGAAGGGAACTGCTTTTCTGGAATGTCTTGTCACATAAGTCACATGCGTACATGCCACTCTCTGTCTTCTTGATCTTCTTGCGAGACAGACAGGAGTCAGAGTCTGTCATGTCATCGAGGCCCGACATGTAGTCTTGTGCTCCATCAAGCAATTCTCCCTGCGATAGAATCACACAGTTCAATACAGCGGCTTCTCTTTGTGCTCACGCCAAACAACTTCGCACAGGCTGACATTTGGAGAACCTCAGAAATGCTTGCTACTAATTGATTGAGTTAAACAATTTTTTCTTCTATGAACAATATATGAGGTCTCACATTGCAACAAAAATATAAACCTTCTCTGCCCTGGAAGGTAGAGCTCACTGTTTCTCAAGGAGGGAAAATGGTCAACTCTGAAGGTGAGAAAAACACATTTTTCTAAAATCTTTCATTTCCTTTATACCAAGAAATACCCATGAGTGAAAATTAAATATTGAAATTTGTGTGTTTTCCAGTGTGCTTAACTTTAGAAATGATCTGTAGCTGTAGAAACCCCATTTTAATTGAATTTTATATTTAGGTACAAAATGTTATTATTATGCAATCTATTTAAATGTATGTCTACCAACTAAAGGCCTCCAGCTATATTTTTATATTTAATTTTCTAATTTGAAATAGGGAATATTAATAACACTTTTTATCAATGTTCTATGTTAAAACAGCCTTCAGCATTGAGCAATAATGAATGTGGATCAGTAAATTATTAAATTTCTTGATATTTATTTTGTCTTGATCCAAAGAAGTGCAAACTTGCATGATAACATACATTTCCATTTACTAGCCCACAGTTCAGTTTTCTTAGACTATGTTTGCACTAATTAATATTAGAGAAGATTAAATAGGATTAAATACATTTACAAAGAGGGCAGATGTACTGTAAATTGGAATACTGGAACAGCTGTTACAGAGGTGCACTGTTACTTATGCTCCTATTTTGCAAACAAAGATTGTATGCTGCATAATATTAAAATATACCTGCTTTCCTATTTGAAAAAACATAATTATTAACTACTTTGAAGTTTAGTAAGAGGTCATATCAAATATGGAAAACATTTTAAAAAATACTCTTCAAAATAAACCATTCTCTGTAAAACAAAAGTATCTACTAAAATTTGTATATGTATTATTGCAAGTTGTGCGCAACTTTATTTTTATTTATTTATTTTTGAGGCAGAGTCTTGCTCTGCCACTCAGGCTAGAATGCTGTAGTGCGATCTCAGCTCACTGCAACCTCCACTTCCTGGGTTCAAGTGATTCTTCTGCCTCAGCCTCCCGAGTAGCTGGGATGACAGGTACCCACCACCATGCCCAGCTAATTTTTGTATTTTTAGGAGAGATGGGGTTTTACCACCTTGGCCAGGCTGGTCTCAAACTCCTGACCTCAAGTGATCCAACCTCCTTGGCCTCCCAAAGTGCTGGGATTACAGTCGTGAGCCACGGCACTTGTCCTGTGCACATCTTTAAAAGCATGTGACAGTTATAAACTTTAAGTTCTACAACCTAGGTAAGTCCTACCAAATATTGTCCCAATGTATAATTCTTTTTTTTTTTTTTCTTTTTGAGATAGAGTCTTACTCTGTCGCCCAGACTAGAGTACAATGGCGCAATCTCGGTTCACTGCAACCTCCACCTCCTGGGTTCACACGATTCTCCTGCCTCAGCCTCCCAAGGGACTACAGGTGCACAACACCACACCGGGGTAATTTTTTGTATTTTTAGTAGAGACGGGGTTTCACTCTGTTGGGCAGACTGGTCTCGAACTGTGGAGCTCGTGATCCACCCCCCTTGGCCTCCCAAAGTGCTGGGATTATAGGCGTGAGCCACCGCGCCCGGCCACCAATGTATACTTCTAAAAGCAGATGAGTCCATCTAAGTAACTCTCAAAAATAAATATTAAATTTCTTCTTTATCCTTTTTGTTTTTAAAGCAAATGTGCTTAGAGTACAGTGGTCCACTGTTTCATCCATTTTTCTAGACCACTGACAGTTTTAGGTTCATGTTAAAACAAACTCTTCTGTTTCTGCTCAGTTTTTTCACTAAGATTTTTTTTTTCCCACATGCACATAATCAAAATAATTGCCATCTCTTTTCTTCAGAGCAGAAAAGCATTTGTCTCTTTACCTGAAATCCTTGTTTCCGCTGGTACTTTCTCCTTTGCTGCATATCAGCAAAGGTAGCTGCTCCAGTTGGGTAGGTATAGGCCATGTGTGGTAGGAAGCTCATCTGATCCAGTCCTGGGTACGGTCGTAGCCCAGGAATACTGGTCTGGACTGGTGGCATGAATGTAGCAGGGGGAAATGCGCTTTGAGGTGGAAGAGCTGTGTATAAAGGTTTGGCACTAAACGGGTTCATGCCGAACACTGGGTTAGCGCTTTTGTTGTCCAGATTATTTGAATTTGAAAATTCCTTCTTGATAAAAGTCAAGTTCAGAGGCTCATCTGAGTTTTCAGATGAGGAAGAAACACTGTTATGGTCTAAACTGATGCTACTAGCTTTTGTTTTGTTCTTCGTGGCTATAATACTTTTGGGTTCTTTCATTTGTTTTGGTAATGACAAGTCTAAAGGCTCAGCCTGGAGCTCCTCAGAAGAGAAGCTGTTTGGAGTGTATGAACTACTGTGGGAGTTTTTAGAAGATGTGGAGGAAAGATTTAAGGGAGAAGGAGTGTTACTCCTGGAGTGGTCCAATTTTTCAACTGGTTTAATATTGGTAAAATGGGAAGGTTTTGTTAGCCTGAGAGGAGGATCACAATTCGTAACACTGTTGTGGAGTTCTGCTATAGATGGTGATGTTATGGAGTCCATAGGTTTTACAGGAGACCTGGGTAATAAAGAGTCTTTTGTGGGAGGGTTACTGTTGGGAACTAACGGCTTAGAGCTTCTTTCCAGGGATGGGGACCTGGAATTTGAGTACTGGTAGACTTTTCGTTGCTCAAACCATTCCTTCACAAATTCCTGAGGAAGGCCCACAGCAATGGAAATTTTCAGCAGTTCATCGGAGTTGGGCTCCATGTTCATAGCATAGTATGCTTTGAGTACAGACATGTGGTCCTTGTATGGGTTGATGGGGCTTGTCATTCCTTTCTCAGAAAGTACAGATGACAAGAGGAGGGCTTTATTATCAACAAAAACTCCGGCTTTGTTGGGGACTATGTTTTCATGAGGCTGCAGGACCGCCTTGATCTCTTCATTCATCTTACAAAGGTAGCGTTCATGCTGATGCAAAGGGATGGGGCCAGGAAAACTTTCTTTACAGAACTGGCATGAAAATGGAGTGGATATGTTGTGGTTCTCAATCATTTTGTCATCGGTGACCAAATCTATTAAAGTACGTAGCTTCTCTTTCTTTATATTACTGATCTGTCTCCTTGAGTCAGTAGTCAAGCTCTGGAGGCAAGCTTTGGCTTCATTGACTTTTTCTAATGTATAGTCAATAATACTTTTAGTGGCACCATTATGACTCACTACTGGAAGACCGACAGGTGGAATATTAGGAGAAGTTACTCCTTGTTCCTCAGGTTGAGAGCATGGATCCTTCATGTGATAACCTTTCAACTTTGAAATTTCTTCAGCCTTGCAGTCCATTTTTTGCCTGGAAACAGTATTGTCCACAATCTGTAGAACCTTTTGTACCTCACTTAAATTACTATTCATGGTGGGAAATCCAAGTAAAGGGGCTTCCATCCCTACACCTAAGTGCTGCATTGGACTCTGAGCAGATGGATGAACTCCTAAAGGGCTGGTGGCTCCAAGCCCACCATTCATAAAGGGACTAGTGCCACTAAACCCGTGTGTGGCCATAAGAACTTTATAGTCATTGAAGTCTAGTGGTTCTGTTTTAATTTTAAGTAAGCCTGTCTGTTCAGACATACTAAGTGGTTTTCCATTCTCCAACTTGTTTCTTAACTGGGTAATGGCTGAATTAGTAGGAGAAGAAGAAACAGAATTAGGGGAAGAACCCGTCTTGATATTGTTTCTCATTCGGCCATTTACAGAGATTAAACCAATACATTTCTTGCTGCTGATGTGCGAACTGTAGGAACCAGAATGGGAGAAACGTTTCTTGCAGTTTGGGCACTCGTAAGGTTTTTCACCTAAAATGATAATTAAAATTAACGTTACATTTCCTTGATTAGGCAACAATTGCAGTTGTCTACCAAGACAAGAATCTGTGAAACCAAATGAAAGGAACACAATGGGATACCTCTATATTCTAGGTACTTAGATTAGAATTATGTGACCATAACTGTTTCTGGGCTTTAGCTACCCTTGGAGGACATAATTCAAGATGCTTGCAGTGGAAGGTAAGGGCTATCTATGCCTTTTCCAGCTGAGATCCCAAATCTTGTCTTGCCATCGGCAGCCTCCTATTTAAACAGAGTGTCAGATTAATGTGTGGTCAATAGCACAATAAAGATGTCACAGTATTTAAAGGGAAGTGTAGCCATGGCTTTAATCAACTTTGTGGAGATTCCATTGATTCTACCAATCCAACTAGTCCTTTGAATAGCATCCAATTTGGTAATAAAATGCTTGGCAGAGCTATCAAACTAGTTATAAAGAAGAAATCTCAGTGGTAGGATTCTGCTCTGTGATCCACGGCCCTCAGGAATCAGGGAATATTTATCATACATAGCTTTTATCCAAAATTCTTCACCCTCTTTTTTCATGGTTAGGTCTCAAAAATTAATATCCTTCAGAATTTGCCAGTTGAGTTTCCTCAGGTCAAAAATATTTATTCTGGAGAAGCAGTTTTAAAAGGACAAAAAGGAGCCTCTAGATTTTGTAATAAATCAAAGTATTTGTAATTTTTAAGAAGTGTACACACTCTGCTTCTTTTTATAAGACAGTGCTACTGGTGGTACCATAAGTCTCAGGAAGACAAATCAGGCACACGGAGTTGATGAAATAAATAGATAGTTCCAAAAAGCTACAAACAGACCTGTGTAAATTTTACAGAATCTCTTAAAACTCCCCTAATTAAACAAAATGCAAATGCGATCTCCAGCACCTCTGCTACTCACCACTGTGAATTCGCAGGTGTTCTTTCAGATGGTGTTTATATTTGAAGGCCTTGCCGCACTCTGTGCATTTGAACTTGCGATTACCTGCTCCTTGGGTTAGCATTTGGTGCTATAAAAGGAGAAAGACTGACATTAGTTTTGTGCAGGAGGAACAAAGAAAATTTGTTATGAATATTTTTAAAAGGCCTCTATTTTTCAGACAGGCCAAAAGGTTTGAGTGCATGCTTATTTATCTGCTCAGTCTTTCAGAGTTGCAATAAAAGCGATAATGTTGGTAATAAAATTGGAACAAATAAAAAAAGTGCTTTCACATGCGCATCCAACACTTGCTTTAGAATTATTTCTGTAGTGTCTTTTCCAAAATGTTTCTTTGAACCTTCAGGGGTGAGGAAGTATAATTGTAAAGATATTTGTTGTTTTTCACGTTTACTAGAAATTCTAAAATATGAAGATTGTCTGCTAGAATGTGACAATTTTGTCAAGAAAAAACTATTTTCTTGAAAATTCTGAATAGCCTCAAAAAACCCATCCCACACAATGAATTTTATCAAATCTTTTGTATCAGCATAAAAGTATATCTCATACTGAAGCAATCTAAAATTGAAAAAAGAAAAAAAAGACCCCAACCCCAAACCAAAAACACACAAACAAAAAAACCTTGTCTATAAATATTTCATTCCATGATGAGCACGTTTAAATATCGTATTCATTATGCTAGTAGCAAATATAAGCCCAGTTTTTCCTGAGATGTCACATATCAGATTTGATTCATTATCAAATGTTAGAGACAACATCTTGGGTGATAGCTGCCTGAGCAGTTTTATCACAGGCCAGTAGGAAAGACTTCAACGACTTTTCATATTCCTTTTTAGTAGTGTGCTAGGGAGTAGGGACAAAAAAGGAAAAAAAAAGTTTGCTGAAAAGACAAGTTAAAAGCAGCAAAGATATAATCAAACACAGCTGACCTTTTTGAACACAGGGAAAAAAGCAGTGTGACTTAGAATTCTGGAAAAAAAAAATGCAGTCATCCACTCTGGATGCTCAAGGTAGGAGGTCAGCCTTTTTCTAGCAGCAATGACACAAAAGCCTTTTGCAAAAAGACAGCACAGAAACGGTATGACAACTGCTAGGGTGTGCTGAATCTTCCCACATTCCTAGTGAGACAGATGGTGTTACATGGGACACAGGGAGGTTTGTTCAAACAGCAGCAACCTTCAAAGATCAAGCAGAGCCCAGCCCGCCGAGCGCCATTGAGGGACCAGCGCTCATATGTTGCTGAGTTGCATAAACAAACAGCAACAGCTGCTTTGTCTCCCCCCACAGCCCTCAGAGGACTACTATAAACTTTAGTTGTGCCACTGTTAATATGATACAATCATTTTAATTTACTAATTGTAAATGCCATGAGCAAATGAGGGGACTTTTCAACACCAAAGCTACCATTCATAATGCGCCAACACAATCACACTTCTGCATATGAAATTTAAAGCGGTTATGCTAGATAAATATCTGGGCACTTTTTTTTCTAGAGTTTTTGTGCATATAAGCAAGGGAAGATAAACTGTTACATAAGTGCAACTATGTGAGCATATCTTTTATAACTCATCTTTGAAAAGCATTCAGGTGACAAGCCCAATCAGATATAAATGGAATAATTTATATGAACTGTTCTAAAATAGTACAATTCCATAATATAGTATTATCACTGTTATTGACTGTTTGCTTATTCTCATTTTCCTTATTCAAAGAAAATGACAGTTATAAGGAAAAACTAAGAATTTTAAGTAATAATATCGTGTTCAATCATTTTAAAAACAGACATGATGTCAAGACTTAAATTAAGTGATTCTAGATCTGTAGGGCCAGCTATTGTGACTTAAGGCACACCACTTATGTCCATGCAAACATATCATAATGTCAATTTGCAGAGTCAATCCTCCCAGGGGGACAGAAGAGTTTTGCTGTAACATTTAAGGGACACTGTGAACCAATCCTATTCAGTCATTTTAAGGATTTAAGAAGATATATTTACCTGTTGAAGACAGAGTTTTTATTTTTAAGACAAGTAAGCAAAAAGAGCGGGAGCAATTTTAACATTTAGCTACAAATATCCATATCAAGAAGGGATCATTTTAAATGTATATCCAACCATTTAGTATTAATCCAATTTATTATATATATATATATATATATATATACACACACAGATAATATGTGCCTTTCTGATTTTGCTTAAAACACTTAGATTTCATAAACTGGTAGCAGCTTATAAAAATACTCTAAGTAATTGAAAGTGTTACATGAAGAATGAAAGAAATACACACTTCTTTTACTATGACTTCGATCCTATATGAAAAGAAAATTTCTAAGTAAAACGAGGTGAAAAATGGAATTAAAATTGCTGAGATGTTTAATAATGTATAATTAAAATGCTACAATTTCATTCACTTTTTGTGGAACATAAAAATGAAACTAAAGTCAAGTTAAAGTGCAAATAAAATTTCTAAATTAGAAATTAACACACTCATTCGATCGTGAACATAAGACTATTAAATCATATTAGAAGAGACCATCAAAAAATCATTTAGACCTCAATTAAAGCTATTACCATTAAAAGATCTGCATCTTCAAAATGCCATGAAAAATTAATAATGATTGCCAATCAAAGCAATATCGTTTCTCTAAGGGGTTATTATAGAAAGAAATCACTTAAAACCATCCCCCCACCTGATCTGTCCCTGGCTTGTGCGTCACCATATGCCGCTCGAGCTGGGTGCGGTAGGCAAACGTGTAGCTACAGAGAGGGCAGGAAAAGTTCTCTTCATTCTTCTCATGGCGGTACTTGATGTGCTCCTTCAGTGATGTCAAGCGCTTGTAGCCCCGGTCGCAGTAGGGGCAGGTCAGCAGTTGGGCAAAAGCATCTGGAGTTCCAGGTGGCAGGTCTGTAGCCGAGAGACAGAGAGAGAGAGAAGCGGGCCAAAAGGTCAGTAAATCAATGGCAGCTAATGGGCTGACTGCCCAGGATGGTATGACAGGAATCACTGCAATCTGCTCCACAGAGTGCCATCATTGCACCCGGCCCCCGTCGCACACCAGTCCCCTCACACGCCCAGGACAGACTTGTCGGAATCAGCTCACACTGTGCTAGAAAATTAATTAATTACTTCAGCTTTTTCTGGGGGGGACTTAAACAGCTGATAAATGAGAAAATTCTCCTTAGGTGACTGACAGTTCCCATAAAACCTGTAGCCACAGATGACTTGGGAACGCACAGCATGAAGGGGCGTTTCAGGTGTTGGTGGAGAACACAAGGTGAGGGAGGGTCGATCTCAACTTTTTTTTCCCTCAAAAGTAAAATATTTCAGAAAGATAGGAATACATTTAGATATTTTTATCTCTTAGAAATGGGCTCTAATTGTTCTTGTTCTTTATTGGATGTACAAATGACACAAATTTGCTGACAAAAAAATTTCACAATACCCTAAAATTACAGTTCTAATCTTTGCTCATGAAATTCCATGCCTCTGCAGCTGTTCTTCAAATTTTAAGGTAAACACCCAGGCATGTAGTGCATTTGTAATTGTAACAGCTGCAGAGGTCAGTGTAGTGGCTAAAAATGATTTACAGCCTCACCATTTTCTTCTTGTCCATTGGCCTCTGGCGTGCCAAGGCGAGACAGCTCCTCAGGGGCTTCTGGGTAAATAATGGCTGTGTCACTGCGCTGAAGGTACTCCTCGATGCTGACTGCATGACCATCGCGTTCCTCCAGTTTTCTTTTGGCAAAGTATTCCTCAAAGTCTGATGTGCAATTTGCATTCTTCACTGAAATCATAGAAGGAAAAAAATGTCTTTTCCGGGCGTTCTTCCTAGGAGCCCAAGTCCATCTCCATCATAGCCAGCGAGAAATGCTGACTTGCAATAAGACTACAAAACCTAGTTTATTTGTAAGAAGTGTTGAAGATGACCAATTATTGATTGAATGCTTATTCTTGTAATATATGCAAGGAGGAGGGCACTTGGCTTCAAGTTAAATAAGCACATTTTATTTTTTTTCTTCCTGGAATATTAGTCTGCATAACTTACAAAGAATGAAAGAAATTTAAAATTCTTTTCATAAAAAAATTTTAAAAACCTACAACTACATTCTAAGATCCATAAACATGAAAGATAATATAAGATCAATGCTATTTTAATAGTCTATCTGAAACTTCCTTTTCTTTTAAGAAAGGTATATTTAATTTTTCATTGTCCACTAGACTGAATGTCCCTAACCACAGATACATCCTGTTGCTAAATATAAGCTTTTAACCCTCCACCCTCTGAATGTCACAGACAGCCAGGACTACATAGTCTGAGACAGATGCAAAAGGAAAGATATTCCTAGACAGATAATAATGCAACTTTGTTAAAAAAATCACTGGAATGTGGCATTTTATCTTTCCCTATAATTTCAATCTTTAGTTTGGTATTTTAAAGCTGCTGAAAATAAAATTAAGCTCACAGCTGATAGAAATAAAATAAAAAGTAACAGAGGGAGTTAAGAAACTGGTGTGTGATTTTGATACGATTTTAACTTTTGTAATTATGACTCTATTTCTGTGAAATGAATAGCAGTTGTAACTCAATTTTTAGCAACTTGTGTCATAAGATTGTGTATATTTGAAACCTCTAGATGTGTTTCTGAAATAAGTTGTGGCATAGATATCCTAAATAATATTTTTATACACAACACAAACTTGGGAAGTAGCTGTTATATTATTCTTTATCATAAGTAGGTAAAAAAAAGTACTTTGCTGGTACAATTAATGGTGGAATCCTATTATCATAGTTTTTGAAAGCAGTTAACCTTGGTGCCACTAGCTTCTTCACCTCATCTTGTCTACCATAAACAATATTACGGTATTTTACATACTAATTCTTGTTGGCAACTGTGGCAGTGTGATGTGCAGGCAAGCTAGGCAATTTTTTTTTTTTTCTTTCATCATCACAAACTTGGATTTTAGATGAGAAGAACAGAAAGCGGAACCACCCATTAATTCAACAAGTATTTATTGAATACCTAGTATGTGACAGGCATCACATCATGCTCTGGTGAGCAAAAAAAAAAAAAAACAGATCTGGGCTCATCCTTTGGGAAGCCATGAGAGAGATTAATACAGTTGATATCTCCAAAGTAAACACATCCTTACAAACTCAGGTAAGTATTTTGAAAGAAAGTTATATGGTGATATTTAAGAAGTAACAGAGGAACCTGATGGCAGCTAGAAGATCAAGAAAGTGTTAACTGAGGAAGCATGAAGTTAACTAACGGTAGAAGCTGGAGAAGAGCAGCATGTGCAATGAGGTGACTGAAACAAGCATGGGACATCTCAGGATGTAAAAAACAAAACAAAACAAAAACAAAACAAACAGAAAACAGTGCTGGAGTGCAGCGTGTGAAAGGGGAACCATGTGATGTAAGGGTGGAGAGCAAGGTGGGGCCAGACCATGCAGCAGGTAAGAGCTTGTTAAGGATTTAAGCAGGAAGTAATTGAAGAGTATTAAGCAAGGAAGATAGTTGGATGAAATTATGATGACTTGCTTTTTTAAATGACATCTTTGGCTATAGTATGATAGGGATTGGAGGAAGAGAAAAGTAGATTCTGGGAATCCAATTAGGAGGTTCTTGTCCTAGGCCAGGCAAAAGATACCATTAAGGAATTGATGATGAAGATGAAGGAAGTGGCTGGATTTGAGAAATACCTAAGATATAAAATTCCTCAGATTTGTTTGGGAAAGAATTTGGTTTCTCAAGTTGGGAGATGCTAAGATAGCTTTCCAAATCTGATGGATAGTAGGTGATATTCATCAAAGCAAAGAACACTAGAATTCTAAAAAGACTTGACACTATAAACAAATATATGGGGGACCAAATAAAAGGAAGTGGGAGATTTACACTTTGTGGACCTCTAAACTAAGCACCAATAATCCTGAATGCTATAATCTCAAATCTTTCTTTTGTGCATCTATAACTTTTGGTAAGTTTAACAAGAACAATGGTCTGATTCCCAAGACCTGTATTTCCCTCAAAAATAGATTTGGAATGTACAGTGGTGGATTAAGATTTTATACCTTGAAACTTTGCTTAAATCTTTTATTAGCTGGACTTAATAAAGAACATGGGCTTTAGATAAGATGACTCTCCTCTTACTGTACGCACAATGTCACGGACGCTTTCCGATGGATACTTTTTGGTAGTGACTGTGATGATGTCATTTGACTTGGATCACTGAGGCCCTATGGAGTATGTAGAAACTGTCAACTTGCATAAACTATTTGATCATTGTTTTGGATCATCAAAATAGCTTCAGTTCTATAAAAAAAATCACCTTTTACTTTTGATGGCAAGGAAAGATAAAAGGGTCAAAATGGTGGAGCCATGATGAACTTCTTTTGAATAACTTCACTGATTTTATCAGTGACTGACTTCATTTTCAGTACTACTACAGCAGAAAGTAATGTAATAGCTTCTTTCTGAATTTGTATCTCCTTGAGGGTTGTAAAATGGTTTAAGTTAAGGGTTAAGTCATGGTATAAGTTTTCTGGGAATATTCTCCTACTTAATGACCTTAGTGTAACCTAGTAAACATAGATGGATGTACATTTAATATCCTAATTTTATCTTGATATTTCAGCAACTATTTGAATGATCTGGCTATCTTTGCATGAATTTTCATTTGCATATGAATGTTTCCATCAGAAATGTAATCATATGCAAATTCAATTGGACTTGCATTAATAGCCTTTTGGCTTAAAAGGGAGGAAAATTCTGATTTTTCTGGATAGGCAAACAAAACTGCATCTAGATACACTACTGGTGTTTGGAGAGGCAATTCAATTGCTAGATCAAATTTGGCCATGCTAGATTTCTATGTTAAGTGTGATGGGGACAAAAAACATCAAATCATGCGCTCTCTTTAAGGATTCATCTTTGATCATCTTTGTATCCTGAGCATTGAGTATATTGCTTAGAAATTAGTAGGCTCTCAGGAATCATTTATGGGATGAATGTGGAATAAATTATGTCCTTAACACTCATCTTAGTGTAGAGGCCTTTTAGTAAAAGGAAGCATAAAATAAGATACCTACAGCTGAGCTGGGGACGTAGACCTAATATTCAGGCAATTGTAGAATAATTATTTGATAAACTGGGTAGCAGTGGTCATAAATACTTGCAGAAGGTTGATACGATTCAGATAAGTATTCAAAACGGTTTCATGAAGAAGATGGCCCTCAATCATTTAAATCCATTTGCCCCATCTGGTTATTTCTTCATGCCACATAGATACGCCGTTGGTTATAGATCTCATCCATCTAGGGTCACTTAAGTGGGCTAGAGTTGAACTTCCCAGAAACTAGGTATAACCAGCTTATATCTAATGTAGTTTTTCCATGAGGTGCAATAGGTGCTAGTAACATGTAGTTTTTCTGCCCAGCACTTCAACATTCACCTTGTCCTAAGAATGGTTCTCCATTTCTCGATTGCCAAGTTTATGGTACCCAAGGAGCTGCTGAGTTGCCATGTGATCCTGTTCCCCTAGCCACGGTTGATCTCCATTCCTCAGGTGAGCTAATCTTAGTCCTCTCTTCTCCAGATCAACTTGTTGATTGGTCCAGAAGTAGCCAATAGATCCAATTAAATTCAATAAATCCCTTCCCTATGATTTTATAGGACTTTGTTCCTGAAAAAGCATCAAGGCAGTTTTTAATTTTTTTTCACCGAGTGACTATAGCTATAGAATAAAGGAATTGTTATTTTTCATCTAGAAAAAGAAGATTTATGAAGAGCGAGAATAAAGCAGACACACAGAGAAAAGCAGACAAGATTGCATGTTCTGACAGTTCATTTCTAACTCTTCTTGTTCCTGAGGCCAAGGTGCACCTTGGAGTGGTTCTGCTGGCCACGTTCCTTAAATTCTGTGACCCAAGACGCTTCCTTTTCTTCTTGAAGGTATGTTGTATTTCAGTCTCTTAAAACTAAAATCACCCTAACAGTTATAATACTAGGACAAATGCTGGGGATTCAGTTTTGGTTATTCTCAGAATTGTTGGGAAGAATGAAGTTTTGATTGTATCTGAAAGTTTGAATTTTTGTTTTTACAAAGATTATGTAATACTGTGTATTGGATACAGAAATGAGGTAGAAAAGTAGCTGAAAGGTTGTAGAATTCTTCACTGCATTTTTCTATTGTAAAATCAATCTCATTTTCCTTCTTTCTGTAATCCTCTTCACACCCTGGTCTGCCTGGAAGAACTGCCAAAACACACTGACAAAAGATATTTGCATGGTATTTATGATCAAACCATAACAAAAATTCATAAGAAGCCTCAAGTAATTTCTTCCCATACCTTCTCCAGAGATTTTGCATTTAGTCCCAAAATTTACCCTAATGTCTTGCAAATATCTCAACCTTCCCTAAGGTTACATAAACTTTTCTCTATCCAAAAAAAGACTATCTATCTTGGGCAACAAATCTTGTCTCTATAAAGAATAAAAGAATTAGCTGGGCATGGTGGTACACGCCTGTGGTCCCTGCTACTGGGGAGGCAGAGGTAGCAGGAACACTTGAGCTTGGGAAGTCAAGGCTGCAGAGTGGTGAACGCACCACTGCACTCCAGCCTGAGTGACACAGTGAGACACTGTCTCAAAAAAAAGAAAAAAGAAGAATATTAATTAAAAATGTTTCCTCATGACCACATGTATTTTAATATTGTTATATTTGTTAGGGTGAATTTTCAGGTCCTTTCTAGTCAGGAAAGTCTCAGTTTTCTTAGCACTATAT